TTCTCTTGTATTGTATTGTAACTGTATTGTCTCCCTCTAAGTCAGTGGTTCTCAACCTTCCTAAAGCCGTGACCCTTTAATACAGTTCCTCATGTTGTGGTGACCCCCAACCATAAAATTATTTACCCAGTAATTATAATTCATGAGTGTCGTTTTACCTCCAATACTGCTGCTTTCAACACAGTAGCTGCTTTCAACACAGTAGCTGCTTTAACAGAGTAGCTGCTTTCAGCACAGCAGCTGCTTTCTACACAGTAGCTGTTCTTTACACATCGGAAATGTGTTTTCTGATGGTCTTAGGGGACCCCTGTGAAAGGGTTGTTCGACCCCCAAAGGGGTCGTGACCCACAGGTTGAGAGCCACTGCTTTAGATTGTAAAGTGCTGAACAAACTGCTGGAGCTGCAAATTCGTATAACAATAATGCATTCTCTTGAGTCTGAGAGCATTTTTCCTTGTTTTTGGCGGTCTTGGTTTTGCGCGTTATATTATGTAAATGTTTGTATATATACAGTATCTCCCAGAAGTGAGTCCCCCCCTCACATTTTTGTAAATATTTGATTCTATCTTTTCATGTGACAACACTGAAGAAATGACACTTTGCTACAATGTGACGTAGTCAGTGTACAGCTTCTATAACATGGAAATTTGCTGTCCCCTCAAAATAACTCAACACACCGCAATTAATGTCTAAACCGCTGGCAACAAAAGTGAGTCCACCCCTAAGTGACAAGGTCCAAATTGGACCCTATTAGCCATTTTCCCTCCCTGTGTCATGTGACTCGTTAGTGTTACAAGGTCTCACGTGGGAATGGGGTGCAGGTGTGTTATCGCTCTCACTCTCTCCTACTGGTCACTGGAAGTTCAACATGGCACCTCATGGCAAAGAACTCTCTGAGGATCTGAAAAAAAGAATTGTTGCTCTACATAAAGATTGGCCTGGGCTATAAGAAGATTGCCAAGACCCTGAAACTGAGCTTCTGCACGGTGGCCAAGACCATACAGCGGTGTGACAGGACAGGTTCCACTCAGAACAGGCCTCGCTATGGTCAACCAAGGAGGTTGAGTGCACATGCTCAGCGTCATATCCAGAGGTTGTCTTTGGGAAATAGACGTATGAGTGCTGCCACTCATTCATATAAAAAAGTCCACCTACTCCAGTCATTAATCTAACTTAGTAGCACCTGTCTGAGCTCTTTAACCATTAGCCGCCCGGCCAAATGGCCGTTTGGCGGCTTCATAAGTGTCTCTCCGTTCCGGGTACACGCCATTTGGCGTGCTCCCGCAAATGCGTCGTTTGCGCTAATGCAGAGCGGCGCAGCAGTGCGATCTGTCACCGGCCGTGCACCTCGGACACGGCCGATGACAGATCCGAGTACCGGTTCCCGTTGCTGGTACCATGTGACCTGCTGTGACCAATCACAGCAGGTCACATGACAGTTGTATACAATGGATGGCTTCATTCATGCCATCCATTGTATACTAGTGCCTAGCTGTGAATGGTCACAGCTAATCACATGCACATGTCATGTGATTAGCTGTGACCAAATTACAGCTAAGCACAAAAAAAAAAAAAAAAAACAATGAATATAAATCGATTTCATTCAGGTAAATGCTTGCTTATAGCAAAGTAATTCTTTGCTATAAGCAAATTGTGTAAAAAAAAAAAAAAAAAAAAAATACTGATCACTTCCCCAAAGTAGTACACTGTTACTATGGTAACATTGTACTACTTTGGTCATAGTAAAATATGAAAAAAAATCTTAAAAAAAATTAAAAAAAATGTAATAAAAAATTAAATATATAATAAAAACAAATAAAAAAAAATAAAAAAAAATATATATTTTTTTTTTCATACTGTCACCAGTCAGTGTCCCTGTTCACCGCCATGCCAAGTTATATGATGACGCTGTACTGCACCGGTGACAATATGTAAAAAAAAAAATAGTGAAAATAATTTTTTAAATTTTTTCATTTTCCGAAAAATTATGACAAAAAAATACAACTTCAAAAAACTCGCCCATGCCTCTTATGAAGTACGTCGGACTGTCTACTCTGCAAAAAGGGGTCATTTGGGGATATCTGTACTATTCTGACATTCTTGGACCTCAAGAAATTAGATTGGCTGTCAGTACTTCAGGATTGATCAATAATCAGATCTATACCATAGTTTGTGAACTCTATAACTTTCCTACAAACTAAATAATACATCCTAATTTGGGTTATTTTCACCAAAAGACATGTAGCAGAATACATCTCGGCCTAAATTTATGAAGAACAATTATTTATTTGTAAACTTTTATAACAGAAACAAAGAAAAAATGTGTTTTTTGTTCAAAATTTTTGGTCTTTTTTTGTGTTAATTTAGCAAAAAAATAAAACCCCAGCGGTGATTAAATACCACCAAAAGAAAGCTCTAGTTGTGTGAAGAAAATGATAAAATTTTAGTTTGGGTACAGTGTTGTATGACCGCGCAATTGTCATTCAAAGTGTGAGAGCGCTGAAACCTGAAAAATGGCCTGGGCAGGAAGGTGTAAAATTGCACGGTATTGAAACGGTTAAAGACACCTGCCCACCCCACAGTCAGTCAAACGCCAACTACTACCATGGGCAAGACCAAAGAGTTGTATTGTTTTTGTTGAGAATATATAGTAAAAAAAAAATTGCAATGCATTGTAATTTTTTCCAGCACATTTATGGAATTTGCACACCATCCATATATTTTCTGCATATAACCAGCTATGTCTGCTGATTAAAATGATATCACAATCGATCACATTAGTGCACATTTTATGTAACATAGCAGAATGGGTAAACTCACAGTCAACATAGGAAGCGTAACTAAAATTTTCAGGGCCCTGGTGCAAGAAACTCTGAAGGGCCCCCTGACCTCCAGCTGGGGCCCTTCTCTCTTAGCCCGGTGGCTGAATACCAAGGCCCAGTCGCAAGTGCAGCCTTTGCAACCCTGGGAGTTCTGCTAATGGTGTCAGTAGTGACACACTGCAGAGCATTACTCTTGACATGAAACACTGCAGAGCATTCCAGCCATCCCGTGATAACACTGCAGAGCATTCCAGCCATCCCGTGATACACTGCAGAGCATTACAACTATCTCATGATACCCTGCAGAGACTTTCACCCAACCCTCATACGCTTCACCATTTTTGTTAACATATGTGTTTTTATTTAGCATGCTACACATACATACTGTATATTTATTTATCTATTTTTTTTTTTTTTTTTTTACATTTTGTTTCCTTCATGGGGAGTCTTTATCCAGTCTGTGGAGACCAAATCTAGACCCCCCCCCCATTCAAGGCCTCGGAACAGGTCACTACTGCAGCAATAGAGCTCTGTAGCAATGATCTACTACTGCAGGGGGAGGGCCGTCCACTAGGGTTGATGTCACCCGGGGTGCGGAGTAACACTTGGTGTCCCCCCCCAATGATCCTCGCAGATGGATAGGATCTGCGGGATTGAGCATAATGGATCGGAGTCCAGATCCATTATGCTCCCCAATCCACAGCTCCATCTTGCAGGGATCGTGGCTTGCAACCTATATGGGGTTAGCTGGTCTTTCAAGACACTGATCCATTCTGCACAGTCGCTCGAGAAGTGATGTCAGAACGGAGAGGTTGGAAGCAGACAAGAATAGGGTTACGGGCCGAGTTCAGCACCGGAGGGTCAGATCAAAGGAGAACACAAAGCAATGGTCAGGTCACAAGCCGAGTCAGATTCCAGGAGAGTCACGAGAGTCAGAACAGCGTTATAGTGACCACAAGACACAAGTGCACGTGCGGACCACAGGCTTATATGTAATCAGCCACACCCCTCTGGGGGATGGACTTTAGAGACCTGAAGGCAAAAAAGATTCCCACCATGCTCTGCAGAAATCCAACATGGATTGCCAGCACATGGAGAAACATAACCTCTGGAAAAAGTTAGGACCTTGACACCCCCCCCCATTCAACTCCTCGGCAAACAGGTCACTACTGCCAGCAATAGAGCTCTGTAGCAATGATCTACTACTGCAGGGGGAGGGCCGTCCCTAGGGGTTGGTGTCACCCGGTGCGGTAAACACTTGGTGTCACCCCCTCCAACGATCCTCGCAGGATGGATAGGATCTGCGGATTGAGCATAATGGATCGGAGTCCGATCCATTATGCTCCCCAATCCACAGATCCGATCCATCTTGCAGGGATCGTTGGCTTGCAACCTATTATGGGGTTAACTGATCTTTCAAACACTGATCCATTCTGCACATGCTCGAGAAGTGATGTCAGAAGAGGTTGTAAGCAGTTGTAAGCATTCTGTATAGGTGATAAAGCAAGCTGACAATCCCCGCAGAATGGATCGGTTCTGCGAATTGGGGAGCATAATGGATCGGACTCCGATCCATTATGCTCAATCTGCAGATCCAATCCATCTTGCGGGGATCGTCGGCTTGCTTTAAAAAACTTTCCTTTTCGTGGAGCTCGTGGAGAGGGTACGGTGTCACCCCGTTGCGATATGTGTCACCCGGTGCGGCGCATACCCCTGCACCCACCCAGGGACGCCACTGGGCCTGACCCCTAATGGTTACAGTGAGGGGTGAACTGACAACTCATGGGGCCCCCGGGCTAATAGGAGATCATGGGGCCCCTGTGTGTCCTTGCCCAAACTCAAATAAAGCCTATGAAAAAAAAGTACCAGGGGCATCTCATGGGGCCCCCTACTGACCCCGGGCCCTCGGGCAGTGCCCGAGTTTCCAAATGGTCAGTCCGCCCCTGGTTACAGAGCTTCAGTGTCACATGGGGAGTGATCACATGGGGCTCTCAGGAGTCGATGTCCAGGACAGGGCTGAAGTTTTAAAACGGCACTGGGACAAAACATCTGCTGTCTCTCTAGCATTTTAAAAATGGCACCTAGGACCCAAGTGGTTAATGTCACTTTTGCAACTTATTGTAACATTTTTAGGTAGCATTCTAACAAAATGTCGCTCTCCAGACAGTAGATGCATTACCTTCATCACAGCGCTTGGCTCGCTCCCATCTTCCACAACAATGACTTTAGCTCTGCCTTTCCTTTTCATTGTCACGAATGCCATTGGCCACCTGTGAGGCTTTGAGGCGCTCATACTTGTTGCATTTTGCACCGCACCACTGATAAACTTCCTGCAAAAAAAAAGAGAACCAAAAGGCCGTAAGGGCTACGAGGCTCTGTACTTAAAAGGTCATTACATTTTTACAACACGCTGACCGGATTTACTATAGGAGCAGTAAAAACAAATAAACTTGTGAGCCACTGAGGTTTGTACTTGAGAAATATGAGTATTAGGTCGCTGGTTAATATGCCCACTCTCCTATAATGTTCAAAATCTAACGAATGATGACCGTGATCAAAGATTGCCGTTCCCACGCGAAACATACTATTGGCGCCGAACGTGGTACGACTCATCTGATATTACAGCATTCTACTAATAATACCAAAGTGACCAAAAGGGACGCCCAGCACGCACACGCCGCTCCTCACAAAGATCCTCCTGTCTTTCTAGTTCCCTGGTTCTCCACCTCCCTCCCATGCCCGCGCTCACAGGAGTTCTCCCAGGGTGTCACCCATCCTCTGGAACTCCCGTGCCCCACCGCCATCAGATTATCACCCTACTCCTCCTCTCCTTTTAGGCGACACACCTGAAAAACCCATCTCTTCAGGAGGAAGCCTACCTCACCCTACTGGAGTAACACTAGACGACGATCAAACCTCCCACGTTACACTTTCCTAGAAAGACCACACACACTTCCTCCCAACTAGTGTGACCTTCATTGCTACCTGTGTCAGCCGTGAGCACATGACCCACGCTCCCTCCCTCTGTCTGAATACTTGTAAGCTCCAAAGTGCAGATGATTTGCACTTCTCTGTATGTACTCACAAAATTTCATGTTTTGCATTGGTATTGTCTCGCATAATGTTCTAAGTAAGTCACAATGTTAACGATGGTCTGTCGTCTTTGTTGTCTCAATGTACCAGGGAACATCCGCCAAAAACAAGATGAAAGAGAGGGCGAACAAGTGAAACGCCAAAGGCCTAACAGTATAACATATATGACTGGCAGTGAATAACGCAATATATAATTAGCATTGTATGTCAATACTTGTCAAGCTGATGTTATGCTGTTGCATCTCAATACCGTTCATTGAGTGAGCTTGAGACTATTGTGCTAGAAATCACTATATCTATTCAAAGGTGCTGTGTAATAGCACCAAGAGGAATTAATTAATAAAAAATAAAAGTAGCAACTGCTGCTCGTGTGACTCGCAGAGATCGTTCCTAGCTACCTCCTCCTGTTTTAATCAGCATGGTACCCGTGATGAACTGTCATTTATCTCCATGCCGAGACAGATTTTAGGTGCTATTACCAAGATAGTTAAAGTTAGATTTGCAACGATCTATATGGAGTGCCCTGTGATATTCGTGGTAAATGGTTGGTGAACCTGTTGGATGACTGCTCGGGCTGGAACTGAGGTTCTGATTCTGGCTGTGCGCTGGATGTACCTATAAACAGCAGAGATGTTTGGTCCTACTGCAGTTAAAATGCCTCTGCCTTTTAGTAGTATATGGTACTGCCCTCGTATATCTCATGCAACAAGAGAAAGACGAAGATCGATGACCGCATATGGTGTCTTATCCCAGGAGGTGAAAAACTCTAGGGTACAGACGTTAATGTTGCTTGTCGAGTACGTGCACTCACATGTCATATAATACAATAGTGCTTTAAGATATGTTCAAAAAAAGTCTGGCGATGTGTACATGCAGCTGCTGCATTTGTTTAACACGCACTCAAGCGGGGGTGTTGGTGTCCTCACACCTTCAGTACTCTAGGCACGGAAACTTCCTTAATGTACGTTATGCACACTCTGTTTGCCGTAGCGAATACCCAAGTTAGGGAAAGCGCACGTCTGGTGCTATGAACGTCGTGACTGTCCCCTGAACTCCAACGTCGATCCTTGCGCTACAGTGGAAGCACTTCGTAGCTTCCTTACTGTGTTGCTGTCGGGGTATATGAAGAGGCTGTCAAAGGCAGTACTGATGTATCTTTCACAATCATCAGTGTGTTCTAGAAGTGTTCTAAGTAAGATTGTCTCCTGCAAAGGGAATAATTTGTCTTATTCTAGTGGTCTCTCTGAGTGTACGAACGAAGGGGGGATGAAAAAAATGGTGAAAATTAAGTTGCAAAGAATTAACCCAATCTCAAGCTGCACAAGTTCAAGCCTTGGAATAGTATGTGCAGAGTGACAATGTTGTAGTTGTTGAGCAATACGTTGGTTCGCACACGTGCCCCACTCATCACCATAGAGTAGTAATGTAACCGTTGTATCATTCGCAGTACCTTCATCGTGACTGCGGTCGTGTACTTATAGCGTGAGATGAATGTGAAGCCACGTGAGCATGAAAATCAACTGAAATACGTGGAAGTCTATTCATCGTATTCGGGATAAGGCTTAGTAGGTAGAAGAGACACTAGATGTATTGTTGTCTCTGTCTCCTATCGTCAGGTGAATGGTGGTCGTCTGTCTTACAGGATGCTGCTAGTGGAGATGCTTCAAAGTAGAGATATCTTGTTAACTTTGTTCCACTAAAGTAAATGGTGTGTAGTCTATGGAGATTTCGCATTTGGACTGAATTGCTAGTGAAGATTAGTTAGAGACTGTTTCATGAGAATCAAACCGCTTAAGACCACTACCCGCGTTGTGCGTGTCTATAACCGGTTCCTGGGGAGTGAATGCGGGAGGGCGATATTTGTAAAGCAGAGATCCGGATTTCACGAAGATACGCTCTCACTGCAGGTTAAATCTTGAAGGTCATGTGTGATGATTCATGCCAGTTAGCTGATTACTGTATCAGAAGGCGGAAATGTCTGTTCGCTGCTTTTTAACCAGGGTCCATCAGACCTTGACCTCCAGGCTGTTTCTAGGATCATTGTCTCGTTTTTACTACATGTTAAAAATCATAGCACCACTTTATATGTTTTGCTAGGAATTACTGTGAGCGGTTTGTAGAACCATATCCAGAAAGACGTAATTATTGTTGTTGTTCTATTAATAAAGCAGAGGGGTGCCTCTCACTGAGAGAATATAAGATGACCATGAGCTGCCTTTTGTGCTTTAATGTGAGATTTTTATGGGCCACACAGTATTTGCGAAGACTGTTTTTCAACGCTCAATCAGAGCAGAGATACAACTGCTTTTGTATATTTAGATGTTAACTAATGCGTAAAACACGTGACATTGTAAAACGCTCTAATTGATCATTTCGCCTGATGATAGAAGGAAACAAGAATCAACGATGATAGTGATACAGCGACTGTCAGTTAATGGGGAACAGGAACAGTGATACCTCACATGTCTGGGGCAATCACTGTTTGCGTGTATGCCTTTGCACACAAACGCGTGGGGACAGGGGCACTTTAATTTTATTTTTTCTTTCAGTTATTCATTTATTTATTTTTTATTTTACACTGTTTAATTACATTTTTCATCACTTTCATCGCTGTCACAAGGAATGTAGGCATCCCTTGTGACAGCAATTAGCACATGACAGGTACTCATTATGGAGGGATCTGGGGTCTATTATTATTATTATACAGGATTTATATAACGCCAACAGTTTGCTCAGCCCTTTACAATATAAAGGGAGACAATACAGCAACAATACAGTTCAATACAAGAGGGATAGGAGGGCCCTGATCCTTGGAGCTTACAATCTAGGAGGGAGGGGCTAGTGGTACAAAAGGTAATAACTGTAGCGGATGAACTGAAGGAGAAATAGAAGATTCTGTTATTAGCTGAAGGTGGGATAGGCTTCCCTGAAGAGATAGGTTTTCAGAGATCGCCTAAAAGTGGGCAGAGTAGGCAATAGCTGATAGATTGGGTAGAGAGTACCAGAGAATGGGGGAGGCTCTGGAAAAGTCTTGGAGATGAACATGGGAGGAGGGGACAAGGGAGCTAGAGAGCAGGACGTCATGGGAGGAGCGGAGAGGATGGTTTGGGTGAGATTTGGAGACAAGATCAGTGATATAATTTGGGGCGGAGTTATAAATGGTTTTATATGTGATTGTTAATGTTTTGAATTTTATTTGTTGGGCAATGGGAAGCCAGTGGAGGGATTGGCAGAGAGGGATGGCAGATATGGCATGGTTAGTAAGGCGGATGAGTCTGTCAGCAGCATTCATGATAGACTGAAGAGGGGATAGCCTGCGATGAGGTCGGCCAATGAGGAGGGAGTTACAATAGTCAAGGTGAGATATAACAAGGGAGTGAATAAGTTGATTAGTAGTTTCCGAGGTTAAGAACGGCGTATCTTGGAGATGTTGCGGAGGTGAAGTCTACAAGATTTGAACAGTGATTGGATTTGGCTGAAAGGACAGATGGCAGTCTAGGATTACACCTAGTACCCTGGCATGAGGGGAGGGACTGATGGTTGTATTATTGATCTTGATGGACATGTCGGTTGGTTGCTCGGGTCTCCCAGTGGGATGGGAGAGCCCAAGAGAGCTAGGGAAGGTGGTAGGAGGAGGGGGGGGGTGTTCCCTCCTGCTGCTTGTAAAAGCAATTGAGCAGCTGGTTAGCCGCTCTGATTGCTTTTATAGGAGAGCTGACCTCCGGCTCTAAATAGCTGCAGGCATCACCCCATTAAAACTATTTGAAGTCCAGCAATGTACTGGAATGTCTCTGGTCCACAAGTAGATAATAACACCCCAAGCATCTTTGTGATCACCTCTGCCTTTTTTTTTCTCTGTGCTTTCACAGCTGTCATTGCAGGCCCAAGCCAGTGTAACTATTGCGTTGCTTCCATTCAGTTGTCTGTAGCAGTGCCGGGACAAGGTCATCTAGAGCCCAGAGCAGGCATGCCAAACTGTGCCCCCCCCTCCAAGATGAATGAGCATTATGTATCAGCCAAAATCCTGCGTGTAAAAAAAAAAATAAAATAAAATTGAGCACTTATCTGCATTTTTTGCCCCAAGCATAAATTCCCCCTCCTCCCAGTACAAATCTCCCCCCTTGTCGAAATCCCCCATCCCAGCACAAATCTTTGCCACCCCCTAGCTCAAATCCTCTCTTTCCCCATATCTTCTCAGCACAAACCCCCCCCCCCCAAAAAAAAAAAATGTCCCCCTCCTGGCACTAATTCTCTACCCCTCAAATTTCCCCCTCCTAGCACAATCCCCTTCCCCCAAATTTCCTCTTTTAGCACAAATACCCTCCAATCATCCCTACTAGTACAAATGCCTTCCCCCCCAAAAAAAAACTCCAGTCCTAGCACAAATCCCCCCCCCCTGCCATATCACCTTTTTTAGCACAAACCCCCCCTAATCCCTCTCCTCACACAAATCCTCTTCCCCCATTCTACCTCCCAACACATATCCCCCCAAATCATCACACCTAGCACGCCTCCCCAAATATCCCCTCTTAGAACAATTTATGCCCCCCTACTGCCCCCCAACTTCCCCCTTCCAACACAAATCACCTTCACCTAATCTCCTCATTGTGCCCCCCCACCCCACAAATACCACAGCACCCAGGGCTGCTGGCCCTCCTGCCCACCCCTTGTCCCGACCCTGGTCTGCAGCATGCACTGGACAATATAGAGGGCAATACGAATGCAGATTAGGACTTAAGAACAAAGAATGCATTTGCTTTGAATACTTGGTAAAGGCTAACTTAAAGCTTTGTAAAATTTTATTGCACATAGACATACAGTATACGGTATGTACCAGGGGCAGACTGACAACTCATGGGGCCCCCGGGCAATAGGGGATCATGGGGCCCCTGTGTCCTTGCCCAAACTCAAAAAAGCCTATGAAAAAGGTACCAGGGGCATCTCATGGGGCCCCCTACTGACCCCGGGCCCTCGGCAGTGCCCGAGTTTCCAAATGGTCAGTCCGCCCCTGGTATGTACTGTATATGAGCAGGCATAACCCTTGTATGGCCTTCAAATCAAGATATGCAGTTGGGGAATGAGGAAATTGTGAAACGTGCCTTGGGTAAAGGTCTTGCAGTTATGCAAATCAATTGTTTTATCTGAAAATCTTGATGACTGTGGTAAATATTTCTGGTACAGTTGTAAGAATCTAGAGTGAACCTATGCAAATAACTTTGTCCTTTGTAAGGAAAAGTAAAGGAGGAAAATTCCTCCATGTACACATTAATCATCATCAACATCAGAGGTAAGTTTATTGTTTCCATGCTTAGGGAAATGATATATCAGTGGTTGACCTAGTGACAGCACAGAGTAGAATGTGTAAACTGAGTCATTTCCACTCTAGGTCACGTCAAGAATAGGAACATCACATTTTGTCACTGGGTTCCATGTGGGGTGGGTTGTATTGGGTTAGTCTTAATACAAGGAAGATCCTGCATTTAATTAGTCATATGACATGCTGGTACTTCTAACCACCACATCAGATAAAGGAGGGATGCTTTTATGTTCCTAGAAACTATAAAGAGCCTTATGACTTTTCTCGGCATCCTCGCACTACCTTGGCCTTACATTTTTCCTTCATAAATTTAGCCAAAAATGTCCACAGTTGACCTGAAGAAGAGGCCAAAACAAAGAAAATGTTCTCACAGCTTGTAGGGTTTGCTGAAGGAAATCTATGAAGGTTCTCATTTATCCAGGTCATGCTGTAGCTAGTCGTAATTGGCCATTGTAATGTCAAAGAGGTTTCATAGCTTCTCAAAGTAGCTTCTTCGATTAGATATGGGTATCCATAACATTCCCCAGCCATTATTGGCATATGAGTTTGTAGGCAGGTGCAGTCTCTTTTCTCCACTGTAGGTGGCGCTCAACCGCAGCAGCACTGAAGGTGGAAAGTCAAGAGGAACATATTCCTCTATTACTTGGAAAGTGATGCGGTTGGATGCTGCCACCCCATGTGATTCTGGCAGCCATCTTGGGTCAGTCAGAATCTATTTAAGGCCCTGGCTCCCGGGCTCGGCGTACATTTTTGGGAGTGGACAGGACAGGGACAGGGTACCCGTCTATCAGGGAAAGTGAATAGCAGTAGGGAAAGGTTCTGTACAAGTAGGGTCAGGCACGCTATCCTTCCTAGGAATCATTCTCTATTGGGCTCAGACTGGCCAGTCCACATTCTGCCTTCTGGGACAGACACAGTCGGAACACCAGAACCTGCTGCACTCTCATTTTGGCACAGAACTTTGAGTGTTTCCAGCCAGGAGCCTCCTTGCTGGGCTGTTGTAACTTTGAGCTATTCCTTCAATACAAGTTTGTAAATTGTAACCAAACTTAGTGTGCTCTCTGCCACCACACTACGCTGTACCAACCCACATGTTACTCAGTCAACTTGATCCGATTTCCATTGTATATGTCAAGACGGATACTGGTCGTCCAAGAACATGATGGAAAGTGTGAAAGTTTGTAAAATCATCCTGTATTTATATCAATTTTTTACAAGTTTTAACAAAGAAATACATATACAACCTCATACCAAGGTTAACAAGCATGGTAGACCAATATAAACGTAAAATAAAAGCTGAACAATGAAGAAGTATAGAGGTATCAGGTAAGTGTCAGCTAAGAAAAACCCTGGAGGACCTGATGAAGGGTCAATAACATTTTAAATATGGACCATAAGGTCTTCCTGCTAACAAAACCTGATAAACCATCTTGCTCCAAATACATAATCCCATTTTTTGGTATCAGGAAGTGTGGGACATAATCCATACACAGATGAACAAAACCTCTCCCAGCTTTCTAGTACCATGGTGACAGAGTAATTCCACAAACGTTTAACCCATTCCATCTGGCCTTGACACATTCCATTGTGGATGAAGGTGACTGAGTTAACTGTGTCAAAGCACAATATTCCAAACACACACAATCTTGAAGGTGGCTGTAAATGTAAGTGGGCACTGCAACAACCACCGGCTGGAAACCAAAGACATTTAAAACAAGTCACCAGTCACCACTTTGGCTACAAATGCTGGGGTATGTTCCTGACACTTATTAGATCTGAGGAAGCAAACTGCATTGGTAGTTGAGTGGTAAAATAACATGAACATTACAGAACAAGTCCAGCTGAATATGACTACTAGCTTGTTAAAGGAAGCCTTTAGACCAGACATTCTCAAACTTTTTAACACGGAGGAAACTTGAATTCTCTTTTAGGTCTCAAGGAACCCCTGCCAATAATTATTATATCTATAGCTCAAGGTACATTAGTGTGATGGTCAATGGAAATAATACCTTTTAAATTGGTAATCAGTAAAAAGAATGCTCCTTACAGTGATGGTCATTGTTAAGATTGTCTCTTTTACATTTGTGGTCAGTTGGAAGAATGCCCCCCCCCCCTTACATTGGCAGTCATTTGAAAAAATGCCCCCCTTTCATTGGTGGTCATTGGGAAGAATGTACCTCTTACAATGGCGGTCATTGGGAAAAAATCCCTCCTTACATTGGCGGCCATTGGGAAGAATGTCCCTCTTACATTGGTGGTCATTGGGATGAATGCCCCCCCATACATGGTGGTCGTTGGGATGAATGCCCCCCCATACATGGTGGTCATTGGGAAGAATTCGCTCCTTACATTGGCGGTCATTGGGAATAATGTCCCCCCTACATCTCTGATCATTAGGAAGAATGCCCCCTTACATTGGTGGTCCTTGGGAAGAATGCCCCCTGACATCTGTGGTAATTAGGAAGAATGTCCCCCTTCCATTGGTGGTCATTTTAAAATTTCCCCCCTTACATGTTGGTCATTGGGAAGAATGTCACCCCTTACATGGTGGTGATTGGGAAGAATGTCAGCCTTACATTGGTGGTCATTGGGAACAATGTCAATGAGTTAAAAAGATCATTGGTGTGAATGGTTCCTTTTTTGGGAGGCAGAAATTGTTCAGTGCTCACCTTATCCCTAGCAACTGCTAGAGGAACCCTGGTTAAGAAAGGCTGTTTGAAACTGTACAGAGTACAAATGGGAAGTTCTGAAAAAGGAATGCTTTGCAACAAGTAGAGCAAACCATTCACATCTCACTCTCAACTCATCACTCTGGCATAAGCAAGGTAGTCTGTCATCTCTATGAAGATTGCCGGGGATTTCATTAGCAGACAGTTTCCAGTCGAGTAATACACAATTTCTTTTTAAAGATGCTATTCAAGCAGAAGGAATTTGTACTGAAAGCAACAGAAAAACACTCTAGAAAATTGACGTTTTACCTGATGAAGTATTTATACTCTTTTGGTATTAAAGCGCTACCTTAAAGGTGGAGCTACACTTTAAAACAGAAATTGTAAACTTTGGAATGATATCCATATTTTTCCCCTATCCCCTGTATATATATATATTTACTGTATATCTGTCTACTCACAGCTCCAACATCGATGATAAAGCAGTCTCCGTATTAAAGCTGGACCAGTTGAATGGCACCTCTGTAGCTCGGATCACCCTGCGTCCTTTAACATGTAGAAGTCTCTTAGCAGAAAGATCATTGGTAACCACATGGGTGAAGCCAGAGGCCACCCCACCAGCCTGAGAAAAGAATAACATTAATGTATTTTATCCAATTATTGTCATGACGAATCTTCCTGCCCATTAGAGCAGGAACCTATAAAGTCAACCTCCACTAGTTAAAGAATTGCAATGATAAAGCCGCAGTCCAATATTCACTCTCCTTTCTACATTTATTGAGCAATTAGCAAAGTGAATGCATACAGAGTATCTTCACCCAAATCCAAACTTCTTTGATGCTTCACAAGGTGAGCAAGCCAGGAATGGTGAAACGCGTAAGTGAAGTTTGGATTTGGGTAAGACTCTTTTAATCTATCCAAACCAAAACCAGTGTTGGGCGGAGTTCAAATTTACAGTATAGTATAGCTAAAGCCAAAACTATTTTCAGGGTTAAATCCTCTATCAGTTATTTTGCCTTCTGTGTCCCATGAAAAAGATTCTACTATGTCCTAAAGAAACAACAGGAAGTGAGAGGAATCTCTCCACAGTGAGGGAAATCTTCTCTTAGACAGTTGTCTCTGGAACAGATGTCCCAATTGGAAGATCATGGTAGAGCAATAAAAAAGTACACTAACAGCTCCACAAAGGGAACGTACAGAGGCATCATGTAAATTTCAGCTGAATAACACCCCCCAGAGGACCTGATGGAGGACCAATGACATCACTAGAATAGATGCCCCCATTAGAAGGTTTCCCCTCTCTTTCAGTTTTGGTGAAAACAGTATTTTGGATTTCACATACTTCATCACCTAAAATACTCTGTGTTGTTGGAGGACTATGTTCCTTTCCGTATTCTATAAAGTAGTGCATTGGGAATGGGGAGCCCAGGAACAAACTGAGTCAGGCCTTCTCGTTCACTATCAGTGCCTGACCTCACAAATGCGCTTCTGGAAGAATGGTCAAACCTTCCCATAGACACCCTCCTAAACTTTGTGGACGGCCTTCCCAGAAGAGTTGAAGCTTTTATAGCTGCAAAGGGTGGGACAACTCAATATTGAACCCTATGGACTAAACTGAGATGCTATTAAAGTTCATGTGCGTGTAAAGGCCGGCATCCCAATACTTTTGTCAATATAGTGTATATATATATATATATATATATATATGTATGTGTATATATACAGCATTTTATATTAATTTATGTCATACCTGATATTTTATTCCATTTTTAAAATAGCCAAGAAAAGTGTTGCTTTCATAACCTTGAAGTTCCCGATACTGGACTGCAAATCCACCAAGATGGTCATCCATCTGTACAGTAAATATAGCCGCTGCTGTGCTCTCATCCTGGGTGCATTCACTTCCTAAATTACATTTTTGACATAAGAATATCAATATCTAGGTCATTGAATAAAATAGATTTAGATCGATCAGCCAATTGGATTAAAAGGAAAAAATAAAATTACTAATGACAGTTTCTGGTTACTCTGGATGAAAGTGACTTTCAACTATCTCCACTTTCCATATATCAGGCCCATGTGCACAGTAATGGCTGAGAAGCCAGCAACATACAGTAAATACAGTAATAGGTATTGTGTGGCTAGGCTATGGACATTAAAAACCACTTTCTGCCCATGGGACATCATATGACGTCCTGGACTTGAAGTGGAGATGTTATTTTTCTGGAACCAATCCATAGCAGCGTACGTGTGGTAGTATGCTGCCATTGATTGGTGCTGGGAAAGGAAAATTATGGTAGGTATTAATACATTTTTCCGTTTAGTAAATTAGGTTAGTTAATTAAGGGGATTACTCAAACTCCAAATGTTCTGGCATTGAGCATGGGTGTACACTTTAGGACAGTGGTAAAATAAATGATCTGTAATTATGGGTGCCTCAATACCAGCTGCTACCACGTTTAGTAAAACTCTTACTTTCATTCAGCTTTGCATCATTGCATTATTTCCACAAAATGTGAGACATTCTATGACTGGAGGAAAGGCGATTGTGACGTTCATCAGCACTTCCTCCAATCACAGAATGCCTTGCATTCTGTGAAAAGAGGAGGTGTACAGTGAGCGAACTGATGTAATGAGTGTAGTAGAGCCGTGGTACCCAGGGTGAATGGAAATAAAAGTTGCTAAACCCAGCAGCCAGTAATGTGACACCCATAATTACAGATAATTTATTTTTACATAGGAAATACTTTGTTACCCATAGTTCAGCTTTAAAAAAAAAAAAAACAACAACAAAAGCAAAACAAAAAAGGCCAGACTCAATGGACCCTTTTTTGCTGTCACTGTTTCTATGAAGTTTTGTCATCACCAGGGGCAGACTGACAACTCATGGGGCCCCCGGGCAATAGGGGATCATGGGGCCCCTGTGTCCTTGCCCAAACTCAAAAAACGCCTATGAAAAAGGTACCAGGGGCATCTCATGGGGCCCCCTACTGATGCCGGGCCCTCGGGCAGTGCCGAGTTTCCAAATGGTCAGTCCGCCCCTGGTCATCACTGTATAGTTCAGAAACACTGGAATAAATCTTTCAGTCCTGTTCTGTTTCCAATGCCACTTTATGCATTGACATACTTCCTTAGACCCAGTTAGTCTAGGTAGTATGGTCACCTGCTGATTTTGCACCATCCACAGGCAGCCTAATTCTTTAATAAGACGGAAGATGAATGCAACACAATTTTACTTCCACTAATTGCAGAATGGATGTATTCCAGTCCTTTGAAGTGAAAGACAACAATGTTCCTAAGCCTTGCCTCTGGGAACAACTAATACTGACTGAGGGAACATGGAAGAAGCTAGGACTAACTAATTATCACTAAACAAAGGGGAAGGACAGAGAAAGATACCAAAATCACATTACTAAAGTTGTAGTAGCCCATACCCACCACTAGATATCATCAAATTGGAGAAATATAATACAGTGCAATACAAGACATGAAAAATGCATGGAAGTGGGGCAGAATAAGTCCTCTTGCATTCTGGGGAGAGCTAAGTGCTGTGCTTCCCTCCTGGCAATTTGGGGCCCCGTGTGTTCACGGATAAATGCTCAGAAGGCAGAAGACCTGTGCATTTGTCCCTGAATGCATAGGGCCCTAGATGCAGATACCCACATTGTGTGCTTCCTGGGTGTACCAAAACATCAGGAGAGATGAGCAGCAGAAAGAAAGCCCTGTGTGCAAGGGAGCTTAAGGATTTATTCTGCTCTTTCATTTGAGTTTGACATTCCTGAACCAAATAATGATGGCATAGAATTATAGGTGAGGACAGCAGAAAAAGACAAAATACTTTATTGAGCCTGGACTAAAGAGGTTGCTGATTGGGTGGTCCTGGACTAAGGTGATTGCTCCCTGGTTGGTTGGTCCTGGGCTAAGGAGGTTGCTCCTTGTTTGGTTGGCCCTGGACTAAGGAGGTTGCTCCCTGGTTGGTTGGTACTGGACTAAGGATGTTGCACCTTGGTCGGTTGGTACTGGACTAAGGAGGTTGCTCCTAAGTTGGTACTGGACTAAGGAGGTTGCTCCTTGTTTGGTTGGCCCTGGACTAAGGAGGTTGCTCCTTGGTTGGTTGGTACTGGACTAAGAAGGTTGCTCCCTGGTTGGTTGGTACTGGACCAAGGATGTTGCACCTTGGTCGGTTGGTACTGGACTAATGAGGCTACTTCTTGGTTGGTTGGTACTGGACTAAGGAGGTTGCTCCTAAGTTGGTACTGGACTAAGGAGGTTGCTCCTTGGTTGGTTGGTACTGGACTAAGGAGGTTGCTCCTTGGTTGGTTGGTACTGGACTAAGGAGGTTTCTCCTTGGTTCATTGGTACTAGAATAAGGAGGTTGCTCCTTGGTTGGTTGGTACTGGACTAAGGAGGTTGCTCATTGGTTGTCTGGTACTGGAATATGGAGGTTGTTCCTTGGTTGATCTACCAAAAGACACGTCAATTTAATTTCAGAAAAAGATAATTGCACTTTGTTAATTAATGCCAACTGCAACTCAAAAGCATGTTGTGCCAGAAAAATGGGCCATAAATCATTTCCTAAAATATTGAGCAGAAAGAAATTGCATACAGACGCATCTTTTTTATCAACTATAAAACAACTTAAAACAAGAAATGTTACAACATTTTTTAGTTAAACTGAAGACGCGAAGAACCTCAATGTAGGAGCAAGAGGGTTGCATGTTGCCCGAAAACCATGAGTTTGACATGCATGATCCAGTTGCCTCAACTGAACTCAGCAATAATATCTATGCCAATTTTTTTCTGAAACTTACCCAACCAGAAGTGCAGATTGTAAAGTTTATACAGCGTCATGTCCACCGTATTTAGTATTAAATAGGCATCACCCACAAAGAAGTTGCCATGGAGAGGCTCTGGCACTTCGATCAGTTCCATCTTCTCGATCCTCCAGATCTGGCGGCCCGTTTTTTTGCCGGCCTTTTCGAACTCCTTGTGTTTCAGGCCCATGGCTGGATTATTTTACCAAAAAGTGTGACCAGCTCAGGACCTATGATGTGTGTACAGCTGTGTTTATGAGTTGTGGGACTTCTCCCGCATGATGCACTGATATAGAGAGAGAAGACAGAGGTGTGTCATTCTTTTATTACACTTGGAGCATGTCACTTATTTTCATAACATTGAAAGTTGTAACACATTCCTCCAAGGCAAAGATCGAAGTGCAAAGTAACAACAACCGACACAAATCCTGCATCTTCCTTGTTACTATCATAGGGGCAGAAATAAAACTGGCATCAGTCCAAGGACAGTCCCAACTACTGAAAATTAGTCCCATGATAGTATTTTTTGCTTCTAATTTTGACCAACCATAACTAAATGTGTCTGCAGTCACTGCTTAAGGATGTGCTATGAATTTTGGGGGACCTTTGTGGTCTGTGTACCATTTGTTCTTTTTAAAAAAGAAGCCAGGAGGAAGGTGGCATTTGCTAGTAGTTTTCCTTGGCAATTGTCAGTAATTTTTTAAAAAATCATTGCTTCCAGCCAAATTTTTTTTTTTGCAAAGGTAGATGTACCCAGGCTAGTACCCATCCCCCACCTCTCCCATGCAATTTTTTTACACCCCTTGCCTATGTACCTTGTGTGCATTCGCACTCTGTGTGCATTCAGGGACCTACACCCAGGGCTGTGAATAAGGGGGTACCACCAGTCCTCCTGTACAGGGCCCAGCCAGCAGGGGGGCCTAGGCAGCTGGGTGTATTGGATGTGGGCAGAGAGGGTGATGGGCACGGTAGGGGGGGGCAATTACTGGAACCGATGCCCTGTATGGCTCTTTGCAGCAAAAGCTGGATTGTTCTCTTCTCCCTCCTGTTGGTTTTTGCTGCTGTAGAGAGAGCCATACAGGGAATCAGTTCCATTAATTACCCCCTCCCACCCCCACTCACCATGCCAATCACCCTCCCTGTACACATTTGATTCACCCAGCTGCCTGGGCCCCCACAGTGCCGGATTCCCTCCTCTCCTTCCCACCGGCAGCTGCAAGCACACAATAGGATCCTTTAAGATGGAGAGTGGGGGAAGGGTCTGATAAATATGTCATAGTAACCAGCTCCTTCCTTTCCTGAATGAACACAATTGAGTGATTGGCACTGATCACTCACTGTGTTCATTCATAGCTGAAGCATAATAAACTGTTTTGTTGGGGTTTTTTTGAAGGGGGCCCCCGTCAGGTTGGCTGTATGGGGCCCTGTGGTTTCTAACAGCAGCCCTGCCCATAAAAGTGATTGAAAAAAAGAAAAGAAAATTAAAGGGACAGTGTAAAAATACAAATAACTTAAATTAAATTAAATAAATAAAAAAAATTAAAGCGCCCCCATCCTCCCATGCAGAAGCGAACACATACATAGGTTGTACATACATATGTAAACAGTGATTGCAGCACACATTTGAGGTATTGCCACAAACATTATAGCAAGTGCAATAATTCTAGCGCTAGACCTCCTATGTAACTCTAAACTGGTAAGATGTAAAAATTTTTAAAGTGCTGCTTTTAGAGATTTTTTAAGTACCGTAGTTTATCGCCATTTCATGAGCATTCACAATTTTAAAGTGTGCCATCATTTAATTCTTTGGGGCCTCTGCTAAAAAAATATATATATACAGGCATACCTCGGTTTACGAATGCCTCGTTTAACGTAATTTTTGGTTTATGAATGAAAATCCATGGAAAATAATGCCTCAGTTTATTAATTTTTTTCACAATACGAAGCAAGTTTCCCCAGGATGCATTGCACCTGGGAGGTTTATAGCGCCGTCCCCGTGCCTTTAAAGTGCACTTTATAAAGAGTTTTGAACAGATAAAATACTTTTTTTTTAACTTTTTTCTGACCTCCGGAACGGATTAATTGGTTTTCAATGCATTTACGAATTTTTTTTGTAATACGAAGTAAGTTTCTCCAGGATGAAATGTGCTTAGGAGGTTTATAGCGCCAGCCCCGTGCATGCTGGAGTCTGTGGGTAGCACGTGGCGTCGAGTGTGGAGGTGTTGGAGCGGTTTTTGCATCGAGTTTTGGATCCATTCTGGAAATATTTAATCATGTCCCTGTACAGTATTTATGCCTTTAAAGTGCACTTTATAAAGAGTTTCGAACAGATAAAAGACTTTTTTTTAACTTTTTTCCGACCTCCGGAATGGAATAATTGGTTTTCAATGCATTCCTATGGGAAACCGCGTTTGGTTTATGAATTTTTCGCAATACAAAACGTCCCGGAGAACGCATTAAATTTGTAAACCGAGGTACGAATGTATATATAATGTTTGGAGGTTCAAAGTAAAAGTTTAAACAATGGCGATTTTTACTTGTAAACTAAAAATAGCCTTGGCCTTCAAGCGATTATTTTACCAATCTGTCACGAAATGGGCACGGAGCAGCTCAGGACCCGGGATGTGTGTACAGCTGTGTTTACTACTTGGAAGGACTTTTCCCACATGAGGCACTGACATAGTAATAGATGACAGAGGAGTGCCATTAATTCCAGCTGGAGCATATCACTTCTATTCAGAACTCTGCAAGTTGCAGCGTCTTCTCCCTGTCCTGTGATCTTCTTACAGAAAATAGAATAATTCCACGGCAAAGATTTATGTTCAAAGTACACTTACCTACAGCAGGCAGTAATCACAAACACTGAACCCAAAAGCAAAAATGTCATATATTGCAGCTTACCAGTCATTAGATGTGATGGCTGCATTTGTTTTCTTTTTTTAGGCCTTTTTTCCCCATTTTCACCTGGTGATCTGGCCAGCAACACTCCTCCTGTATTAGAGCACCCCCACTGTGGTTGAAGGAGCACAGGGGGCACCACTGGACAGCAGCATTGCCAGTCTGGGGGAGAGGGGAGTGTTAGATGTATTAGCAGATTTAGATACACTAACAAACTGAAACCAAACTCCAACTAATACTTTATATTCAGTTAAAGCAAACAGTTTTTTTTTTCCTTTTACATAAATAAATAAATATCTGATAATTGTAAGCACCTCTGTCAGTGGTATATGGTTTGTCTCAACCGTCTAACTGCTACATCTGCAGCACAGCTTGTTCTGTTGAAAAGTCCCCTGATTCCTAGGTGAAAATGAAAGAAAGGAAGCCTAAAAAAGAAAACTAACGCAGCCATCGCATCTAAGAATTGGCAAGATGCAATATAATAAAAGTTAGCTTTCTCTTTATCACTTATTTAAGTAATTACAAAGATATTGCACAATAAACAGGCTCATAGCAGAAGTGTAAAACTTGCTCTGGTCCATTAAGGGTATACGGGTATAAGAGCTGAAATCAGAGCTGGGACAAGGGGTGGGCAGGAGGGGCAGCTGCCCTGGGCACAGCAGAACAAGAGGGCAGAGAATAGACACTGCCCCTCCTTACTATCAAAGTTGGGATCAGTCCAGGGACAGTCCCAGGTTGTGAAGATCTGTTCCTATCTCAAGGACAATGACTTTGACTTCTCATTTCCATCTGCCATAGAAGAGCTGAAATCAGAGCCGGGACAAGGGGTGGGCAGGAGGGACAGCTGACCTGGGCATGGCAGTGCAAGGAGGCAGAGAATAGGGACACTGCCCCTCCCTACTATCAAAGTTGGGATCAGTTCAGGGACAGTCCCAGGTTATGAAGATCTTTCCCTATCTCAAGGACAATGACTTTGACTTCTCATTTGCATCTGCCATAGAAGAGCTGAAATCAGAGCCAGGACAAGGGGTCGGCAGGAGGGACAGTTGCCCTGGGCACAGTGGAGCAAGCGGGCAGAGAATAGACACTGCTCCTCCCTACTATCAAAGTTAGGATCAGTCCAAGGGCAGTTCCTTGTTATGGAGATCTGTCCCTATCTCAAGGACAATGACTTTGACTTCTCATTTCCATCTGCTGTAGAAGAGGTGAAATCAGAGCCAGGACAAGGGGTGGGCAGGAGGGGCAGCTGCCCTGGGCACAGTGGATCAAGCGGGCAGACACTAGACACTGCCTCCCCATACTATAAAAATTAGGATCAATCTGGTCACAGTCCCAGGTTATGAGAACCTGTCCCTATCTCGAGGACAGTGACTTTGACTTCTCATTTCCATCTGTCATAGAAGAGCTAAAATCAGAGCCGGGACAAGGGGTGGGCAGGAGGGGCAGCTGCCTTGGGCACAGCGGTGCAAGGAGGCAAAGAATAGACACTGCCCCTCCTTACTATCAAAGTTGGGATCAGTTCAGGGACAGTCCCAGGTTATGAAGATCTGTCTCTATCTCAAGGACAATGACTTTGACAGTGAGGGAGGGGGTGCAGTCCTTCATCCTTGCCCTGAGAGCTAGAAAAACCTGTCCCAGTACTGACTGAAATGGTTAAAGCCATAAAAACAAAGATCATTATCCTGGAAATGAGTTAGTTGTCAATCATACTGCAGGCAAAGTAGAGATAAATAATCAGGTGACAAGAAAGTAACCAAGGTCATGACTACTCTGTTCCACTGTCTCTAATATACAGTAGCTGAGCGATGACCTGGACCCTGGAGGCACTCATTGTCTTCTAACCATTGTTTGAAAAGTTTCCTATAGATTGTGTACAGAGAGGCATAGAACATCTTAGTAACGACACTAATGGCAACCAAGAACGCTAACATGTCCCAGCTATGAATAGTCCTTACTGTATAAAGGCAGCTGGTATGGGTTGTAGGAGCTCATTCTGGAGGAGAGGTAAGTCCTACATAGGAATGGGGGTGATTCAGCGTATGGGGCTCCTGAGGGCCACTCACTGACGGAGATACAACCAGACCCTGTCATGGAGCTGCTCTCAGGAGTCCTGTCCACATTGCACCATCCTCCTCATATTGCCTGGAGTTCCTGTCTGCCTTCTTCTTGATCAACAATTTTGGAAACGTCCAGGATTACCATCAGCAAAGGACAAAAGAGAGGAGCAAAGGACAAAAGAGAGGGGTACAGGCCTGGATGGGGGGAGGGCAGCCTTTTTCTAAAGGAAGGCCA